TTATTTACAATTATACACAAAATTCAGAATCTAAAAATAATCTGAAAGACTTGAAACGTAATCAATAAGTCGAAAGACCAAAAAAGACATGGATTGGATTATACTATGTTTTCTATAGTAAGTGTACATAAGTTCCAGTTTGATTGTATTTACAAAATATAGATAGACAAACTAATGTGGTTTATTGTTTTGATAATACTTCATTGTATATAGCATTCAAACAACACATACTTATACACTTAAAGTTTTTTTTTTTTTTTTTTTTTTTTTTTTTTTTTTTTTTTTTTTTTGTCAATCAAAACTTTATTCAAGTTTTATAATACAAAATTGTTGAGAATATAAAAAACAAAAAAAAACTTAAACCTAAATACAAAATATAAATGTAAATAATAAACAGAATAATAACAAAATAAAATTATAAAAATATTGAAATAATAATCTTAAAATCAACTATGGCTGGAACTGAGCATTAGCTACTCTGTCGAGTGATGAATGCTTCTATGATGATAGATGAGGAAGGTCATCGGGCCATTTCTTCTTCAGTCTTCTTGTTGGATTGGGCAGAGATTTGATGATGGGATTTGTGTGGAGTTCTAATTTCTTGATGTGGGATATGCTTCTTGATTTTATGTATTCTGCAACGGTTGGAATATTCAGGTCTTTGTGGAGGCTGTAGTTGGATATATACCACGGTGCGTCAGTGAGGATTCTTAAAATTTTATTTTGGCATGTTTGTATAATTTTGATGTTGGAATTACATGCGCAACCCCACAGTTCTATACCGTAAGTCCAAATAGGAATAATTACAGTTTTGTAAATGAGTACTTTGTTCTCGAGAGAAAGGTCTGATTTTCTTCCTATAAGCCAATACAGCTCCTTGATTTTTATTTGAATTTGTTTTTTCTTATATTCAATGTGGGTTTTCCAATTTAGTTTTGAGTCAATATGTAGTCCGAGGTATTTTACACTATTGGAGGAAGGTATTATTTTGTTATTTAAATGAAGAGATGGATTGTTATGATGTTTTAAGGAAATAATGAGATGTTGGGATTTATCGGTATTGATTGAAATATTCCATTTTGCGAACCATTCTTGAAGTGTTAGTAAGTATTTTTGGACCTGTAAATTAGCTAATAAAATATCTTTATGTTTTGATATTAAAGCTATGTCATCAGCAAATGTACTGATAGTTACTAACTCATCAGTAGGCATATCATGCGTATACAGGAGGTATAATAATGGGCTTAGCACACTGCCCTGTGGTACACCGCATTCTATATTTCTGATGGCAGAGGTCTCTCCTTTTATTTTTACACGAAATTTTCTGTTGTGTAGGAATGATTTTAGGATTTTGAAGTAAGAAGGAAATGTTAAAAAGATTTTGTATAATAGTCCGGAATGCCACACCTTGTCAAACGCCTTGCTAACATCTAAAAATACAGATACACAGTGTTCCTTTTTATTTAAGGCTTCCAGACTGTAAGACACAATCCTGTTGCACTGTTGTGTAGTGGAATGTTCTCTTCTAAAGCCGAACTGATGGTTCGGTAGCCAGTTTGTATGGGGATAATCTTCGAGCAATCTGCGATGTAGAAGTTTTTCCATTAGTTTAGAAAGAATTGGTAAAAGGCTGATTGGTCGATATGAAGAAGTGAAGTGAGGGTCCTTGTTTGATTTCGCTATCATAATAATTTCGGCTGTCTTCCAAGCAGTAGGCCAGTAATTAAATTGTAATATAGAATTATAGATATTAGTTAAAAATAAAACTGATTTCATGGGCAACTCTTTTAGCATTCTTGGCGTTATTTTAAATAATCCTGGAGCAGACTTATTTTTTAAATTCTTAATTTCTTCAAAAACATCATTGGGTGAAAAATGTCTTATTGAGGATGATTGGATATTACATTGTAGTAGCTGTTCTATTTCTAAATTTGGACTTATGTTTTGAGCACTGAAAGTGATTTTCAGGTGATCAGCAAATGCTTCCGCTTTTTCTTTTGTACTCTTCGCCCATTTAAAGCTGTTTTGATGTGGTATTTTTAAAGGATAATTTATTTGAGGTGGTTTGCCCTTTCGTTTAATAGGTTGCCAAATTGAGTTGTCGAACCTATTAAGTTCCAACAGATAGGATTTGAATGAGAGATTTTTCCATTCCTTTATTTTTTTCCTCAAGATGTTATTGAGGTGGTTGAAGGAAGTCTTATCTGAAGGCTTATGCGACTGATGCCAAGTGCGTCTCGCTTTTCTTTTTGCTATTAATAAATTTTTGATCTCAATAGGAATTGTTATTTTTTCTTTTGTTGCCTTTAGGATCGGAGTGATTTGTTCTGTTGTTGTGCATAAGATTTCTGTAAAAAATTGTAGTTGAGTTTCTATATCGGTCGTGTTCTTTGGCCTTATAATTGGAAGTGTTCTAGAGTTGAGAATTTTTTTGTAATGGACCCAGTCAGAGAATTTATTATGTAAAAATTGAATGGAATGGACAGGAATCGGTAGCGTACTAAATGTTAATAGGATTGGGGAATGGTCAGACGATAAGTCATAGCTTGGTTCAATATTCATTTGAAATTTGGAAATGCCTTTAAAGATAAAAAAATCTAAGAGATCAGGGAATTTACTTGAATCTGAGGGCCAATATGTGGGACTGTCTGTTGATATGTAAGATAAGTTGTTTTGTTCTAATGCTGTATAAAGTTCTTTGCCTTTACCAGTAGTTAAACGTGAACCCCATGCAGAATGCTTACAATTGAAATCCCCTCCAATAATAAATTTAGATCCAAATTGAGAAAAAATGATGTATACTCTGAAGACGAAATTTTGAATTTTGGTGGACAGTATATTGCAGATACATGAAGGTCATAAAGATTGGTTACAATCGCAATTTGCGTTGCTTGAATAAATTCTTCTTCAATATTTGGAAGAGCATAGTGGTTTAAGTTATTTTTTACTAGAATCGCCGAGCCACCTCGAGCTCTTCCACTTGGGTGATTAGCATTGTAAGTGGTATATTCGTGAATTTTGAAAAATGATTTATCTGTAAAGTGTGATTCAGAAATTAAAATAATATCTACATGATTTAATTTTAGAAAACATTCTAATTCGTTTTTATGTGGTATTAAGCCGTTGGCATTCCATTGCGCTATTTTAATTACCTTTGCCATTGTTCAATTTATTCATGAGTGAAACTAACATATTGAGGACCATGCTGTTTTGTTGCATAAGTTGATTAAATAAGGATTTGAATTCTTGAAGGAATGAGGAAAGGGATAAAGGTTCTGAGTCCGTAATGGGGTTATTGAAATTTGTAAAAGAATTTTTTGTTATGTTTGCGTATGATAAGTCGGGATTTCTTGTTTTGAATGTTGGAGGAAATGTATGAGGTTTGTCTTGTTTGTTTATGTTATGGAGTGTTGTTTTGTATCTCGTATTTTCGGTTGACTTACTATTGAGGAAATTATTTTTTTGGTCATTTATTTCTTTGTAGTATTCGCAGCCGCGATAATTAGCAGTGTGGGCCCCTCCGCAGAGACAGCAGCATGCTGGGGTTTTGGGATCTTTGGGGCAGATTTTAGTATTGTGGTCATCTCCGCACTTTAAACAGGCATATGGTCTGTTGCAATATCGCTGGGTATGATTATATAATTGGCAGCGTGTGCACTGTATGATGTTATTATTTTGTTTCGGAGGTTCAATTCGGACTATATTGTTTGATATTTTATAAATATCATAGATTTTTTTGTTGTTGTTTGCTGGTTCGAGATCGACAAAGAACATATTCAAAGGTTGTTTTGATATTCTATGCCTGATGTTTGTAACGATCCTAACTGTGTGACCTTGCTTTGCTAATTCCGATTTGATAGTGTCGATGTCAGTGGTATAGTGTAGGTTTCTTATTACGATTCTATAGGCTTTTTCTTCTTTCAATTGATACGTATGGAAAACTACGTTTGCAATTTTTAAATAACTAGATAAGTTTCGAAATTGTTCAATTGTGCTGCAAAAAATTTTGAAATTATTATTTGCCAAACTTCTTAGAAAATATTGTTCGCGTGGAATGATCTTGTTAATTGCTTCTTTCATGTCGTTTATTTTATCGACGCTATACACATAAATAGGAGGAGGTTTGTTTACAATCGGTTGAACTGGACTGTCATTGTCCATGTTGATAGATGATAAAGCCGTGAATCGGTTTTTTGTTATGGTAATTGATTCTAATGGTTTCGGTGTTATTTTACGTTTTTTGTTGCTAATTACCTGCCAAGAAACGCCGGTTGTGTTCAGTATTGCTGCATTGTTTTGTTGAGAGTTATTGCTAGATGTACTTGCAGTTTGTAATGCGCTGGTGCTCGGAACTGGGCTACTTGGAGTATTAATTGTTTCATTTTCATCAAATGTATCCATATTGTTGAGAACATTAAATGTTTGTACTATCAGACCGTTGGTCTCTCGGTCCCCACCGACGGGGGACATTTCACTGAAACTTATACCTGATAAAAGGTTTTGTTTACACTTTGTCACAAAATTATTTCAGATAAATACTGATTTAATTCACTTTAAATATCGAATGTTTTGCTTTGCTCCGATGTTATCGGTACCGTGTCCGAAGACTGAATGATACACTTAAAGTATTAACATTTTTGATTCTCTAGAAATTGTTTAGAACATACCTTACTTAGCAAAACAACGTTTGCCGGGTTAGCTAGTTTAGTATAATATCACATCACAACTGTGTATAAGAGCATTTTTTTATTAACTTCCCGTAGGGTAGTTAAAAACACAATTTTTCTAAAAAAAAATATACCTAATAAATAAGATAGATATCATGATCTAAAGCTAAATGAACATCGTAAAATATTATAGGCTTATGAAATGCTTACGAAATACCTAAAACTAAAAATTCAGTCCTGTTTGATTTTCTAAACGGAAACTAGTGGTGTATACAATATTATTCGCCCTTCTTGTCTTTTACTCCATTCACATTATTTCTTTTCCTCTTCCAGATTGGTGCCGGCTGCCATCAGGCGTCAAGTGCTCCTGCCTGCTGGCGGGTACGCCCGAATACGAGCGACTGAGCCCGACGCAGCACGATGAAGTGCAGGCGACCGCCGACCTGTTCAGGCGCATGACGGCCGCCGCCTCGGTCTCGCCCGAGAACAACGATGACGACTTCGGCTTCGATTCGGGATCGGGAGACTATTCGGAGGGAAAGGACTCGACTAACGAGAAACAGGTAATAGAAGACGAAGTTATTTTAATTATATATTTTGGGTTACACATTATTTTGTTCAAAATGGTACTGTAAGTGTAATAGCTGATGTCCGAAGGGTTTTTGGTTCGAGTCCTGGTACTGACAGAATTATCATTTCGTTTGGTTGAAGTAGAATTTGAATTGTTATTTTGAGATAAAAAAGAATTAGATGTTAGAACAAGAAGTAATGTTAGATAAAGAATAATAAAAATGAATAGTATAAACCAAATAAGCGAAGGTAATATAATTTTAAAAAAGTGTAATAGCTTTTCACAGTTACATTTTATAAGTTCCACGGCTTAATGCAGCGGCTCCCAACCTGTGGGGCCCGTACATCTGTTTCCAGAGTACATTTATCGAAAATAATCCAATCTTTTTGGAACGATATTAAAAAATAAACAAAAAACAATCAGTTTTTATGCATTTTTTAACATAATACTATAAATTAATATCAGTTGAATAATTTATAAAATTAAACTGTTGAAAAAATAAGAGGATGCAAAAAAAGTTGGAAAACACTGTTTTAATGTGATAAGCGCTTAGTTACTTTAAGCAATAAGTTACTTTAGAGTTGCACTTATTAATGAAATATGTCTGAAGTCAAACTAATGTTTCTTTTTGATATTTATACCATTTGGAGGTTAGTTCTCTGCCGTTGCCAGTATCAAATATGTATCCTCACACGTACCTTCTAATAACACTTATTAACTTCCGTCATAGTAATAGGCCGAAAATCGTAAACGAAAATTTTTGCATTTCTCGACGTTTTGAAGGTTTTTGAATATTTTGGCATATCTCAGAAAAAATTGATGTGTGTGTGTGTTTTGTATGTCTGCATTTTTTCATCCACGGGTCAACCGATTTGAATGGTTTGAAAAACATTCGATCCCTATTGATAGGGAGATGTGCTGATTAGTTTTTGGCAAAGGCAGGTCCTGCCATTTCGAACATACAGAGCTAAATGTGCAAAAAATGGCAGTTTTTGAGTGAACTAAGCGTCTGATTTGAATTATTCAAAGAACTTTCTGCTTGTTTAAACAAAATAATTGCTTTTGGAAAAAACATTTTCGTTACTATTTTTTTTAAAAAAAATGTTTTTTTCAAGATTTTTTTTTGTATATCAAAAATAATTCAGATTTTAATTTTAATTCTTTTCTATACACCATTAGTTTTTTTTTAATCTGACCCTGGTAGTTTGTCACGCAAGTGAACTTAGGTGATCCTCGAGGCGGCTTTTGTACTTTTGTGAATAAAATCGTATTTTATCCTATGTCTTTATGGTTTAGCCAATCTTCAATATACTTTAGGGCTTTCAAAAAAATTTATTCGTTCACACGTTTCGTTTCGAATCATTGATTGGAGAAATACTGAACTAATTAAATCTTTATATATATATATATATATATATATATATATATATATATACACACACAGATATATATATATATATATATATATATATATATATATATATATCGATTGCAATTAACTCTGAATTTTCTAAAAGGGCTTCTCGGAATTTAATGGGATTCTTTACGTAACAGCAATTACGTATAGGCACGTGCCGAGATCATAAAAAAATCTACATTTTCTATATATATATATATATATATATATATATACATATATATACATATTTATATATATATAAACCTTGGATTTTTTTGTTTGACATTTTCAAACTTAACGTAATTTTTTTCAAACTTTGTGAGATATTTTTTAGAATTTGTTAAACATGCTGATTGATAGCACACATACAGTAACGTGTCGAAACGTACATCAGATTTTTGTTATTTTGACTATTTGGCTGCAAATAGACTTTTCTAGAAAATATTTCAGCGTCGAACAAATTATTTCAGTTTGCTCGTCAGTAGAATTCCATTTCTTGATTTTTGACAAATTCAGTTTGATCGTCAGTAGAGTCCTCTCATTTCTATCTTCAACAAATGTGAAAATGCCGTCAAGCTAAGCACAGTATAAGTGAAAATGTTGCACAGAATTATTTGCGAATACGTTAAGACTGTGACTATACAGGATCACTATTTTTTTGAATTGTTTGGGAGAAAATGAAATGAAATGAAATTGAAAATGTTCTGGAGATGAGTTTATTTATAATTTATGATTATGATTTGATTTGCACAGATATAACAATAAGATAGCAAAAATAATGAAAGTTACAGTATTTGTAATAATAAATTTGAAAAGGTTTAAAATTTCTCGAAATTACGAATTACGGTACGGAAAGTTCCAGCAATTTGCCTTAAGGCACGATGCCATACACCACTAGTTTTGATTTGAGTTAAAAAGCTTTCGCAAAAGTTTTCAATTTCTTGTGACTATCCACATCTTTGGATCATTTCCCTTCGGCATTTTCCATCTTCACAATTAGATGCCGATAATGATAGTAAACAAATCAAATGTGATCTTCGCCATCACCATCACCATAAGTAGAAGTTGGAAGTAAATAGATTTGTTTTTGTCAAGTCTAAAATTAGTTGTTACGAATGCGCGTTAAGAATATTTATTACCTTGAGACATACAATGTCGTCCCAGTCTGTCTGTCTTTCTTTCGGCGAAGATGTTTCTTTCGGCCAAGAATCAATTATAAATTAAAATTGATAGAATAGATAGATAACAAAAGATAGACATCTTTCATCGGCCATTTATCTTTTTGTACAAAAGACAGGCTCAAGAGAGGTAGTTCATCCGAAAATAGTTCTAATTAATTTATTAATAAAGAGGTTTAGGTTTACTCTTGAGATCTTGATGTAACAAAAAGTAAGTTTCAACAATGAGAATGGTATAAAAAATACTGCACAGTGGAAATATTCATCCCTGTCTTAGGTAATTTGGATTGATATATAATTTTTCTGTCGTATTTGTCATCTGTATCAAATTCGAAACTAATGTATTATCTACATATATATAAAAATAAGTTGGATTTTCCTTCCTGACGATTTAACTCCAGAACGCACGAACCGATTTGACAATTTTGCATTCGTTGGAAAGGTCTCGGGCTCCGCAAGGTTTATAGCTATGAAAATTAGTGGTGCATGGCATCGTGCCTTAATGCAAATTGCTGGAACTTCACGCACCGTAATTAAAAATTCGAGTAATGACATAAGTGAGAATTATCGGAATTATGCTTGGTTAAGGCAACGAGCAATTCTTGCCGCCAAGAAATATGTAGTACACGCACTGAATTTCACCATTCAATCAAAAATTGCTGGCGATTTGGTGACATACCAATGATTCCGACTGGTCTTCCGTTTGACTTCAAACGATTGCAATTTCCAGTTCGCCATCGCTTAGTGTTTGCGGGATAAATTTCAAATAGATTATTTAGAAAATCAATGTTTTCACATGGGCAGTTATACGTTGCCTGTTCACGAGTTGGGAAACCATCCGCTTTGTTTGTGTTAACGTCAGACCAAAAACAAAAAATGTGGTTTACCAAAAAGCACTTCAATGAAACGGATAATTTGCGGATTCACTTTCATTTACTTAGAGAAGTTCAACTAAAAAACAATGCATTTTTGTAATCTAAATAAATTCATTACTTACATTACATTCAAATTTTTCCTCTTCAAATATAAAAGGACAAAAAATTTCTTCATCTTTCTCACGAAACCATCTGGTGGCGAAACGGAGTTCGTCGGGTTTGCTAGTAATTTATAAAACAGTAGAAGGGCTAATATAATATAGGGAAGATGTTTTACAATTTTGTCCTGGATAATCCAGTTTGCAACATTTTATACTGGGTGGATTAGTATGCAAAGGGAATTCCTCGCCGCCTTTCTCTGAAATATTTGCCAAATTATGTGGGCAGCTAGTATATATATCGTTTATTATATTTGTCATAGAATAACTTTTATCGTGGTTTTTAATTCGACAGCAATTTGTAATTAGAATCAAAACATTCCGACTTATCATCACAACAAATTGATGTTTAGACCCATAAATATTATTTTAGATAAGAGACGATAAATTTTTTACACGCATATTATGCAAATATATATATATATATATATATATATATATATATTGTGTTTATTTCTATCAATATTATTGATTTTTCCATTTCCGATTGAAATAGATAAAAACAAATTCTTACTACGCGATTACGTTTATAGTTAATTTATTTTATAAATATGTCATTATAGTAAACAATATAAATTATATATATTATGTATATATATATATATATATATATATAAATATATAAATATTATAATGAAGCAGTCGACTTGGCTACCAACAGGTATATTCAGATCGAATCCTGCCTGAGTAATGTATACTAACAGAAACATGTGTTAGTTAAAAAAAAACAATAAAAAAATTTGCTGAATTAATATTAAACCGATTTATTTAGTACGTTTCGGTACTAAATATGTGTCATCATTTAATAGTTCTGGCAAGGTATCCGTAATACGACTTAATAAACTTTTAGTAAACAAACAAAGATGATATTATTATATAAACAAATAAGGATGTTTTTGAAAATAATTTAGAGAAGAACCAGAAAAATTTTGATTTGTAAAAAAATGGGTATTTTTATGAATTAATAATATAATATTATCAAGAGTATATTAATTTCTTATCTTTCATTTTATTATTATGCTTTATTCAAAATATTTCATCCAAATTTAAAACTTGAACTGAGATATTCATACTTTGTCATGTTCGTTGTTGATTTATTTTATAATCATAATATAACGAAATTAATATTAAAAATTATTTTATCAGGCATAACGGCTTTAAATACAAGTTCTTTCAAAATATTTGAAATCATAGTTCAATGCTGCTAATTGATGACACATATAAAATGTCGAAACGTATAGAATAAATATCTTGTACTATTTATTACTTTTACTGGCTGCTAATATTTTTATAGACTTAAAAAAAAATTGGCATAAAAAAATTAAATTGAAATTTTATGTGTTCTTCTTGATATGAACTATTTAAGGATGACACACATCTGTTGCCGAAACGTAGAGAATAAATAACTTATAATTTATTGAGTTTTTTTTTTTACTTACTATTAGCTACTAATATTTTCATAGAATTTGAACTTGCAATAAAACAATTAAAGAATTTTAAAAAAAATATGGTTGTTCTTTTTGGTATGAATAATTTAAAGATGACACACATTCATTGCCAAAATGTACGGAATAAACATACATATAATATTATTATTGATTGTATTTATTTATTTTCATCTTAATATTGTATACAAATATTTTTGTAGATTTTATTTTAAAGAATCAAACAAAATGTATTGTTTTTATTATTGGTTTGAACTGCTAAATGATGACACATATCTAGTGTAGAAACGTGCAAAGGAAAAATCCTATTTTATTATTTATGATATTTTATTTTGGGTTTATTGATTGAAACAATTTAGAGTTTTCATCTAAAAATGGGGGCGCCCTTCTATTCGTTCGTCTATAGTGTTCTGGTAGCCTCCGTTTTATTGATTCGACTTGTGTCCTTTGACTATATATATGGAAGGACTTTTACCTATATATTTTACCTATACATAAAAGGTATATATAAATACATGGCGTATAAATATATATTTTTCAATTTTCTAACTTATAATTGTTAGGCATTATCACAACTAATTAAATTCAGTCTTTTGGTGATTTCCATATCAGCTGCTGAACCACATTCAGTGTCAGAACATAATATTTTTTGATATTTGTTCTTTTTATTTTTATATTGGCTTAAATTTTATACTCTAGAAGATCTTATAGTATCGACAATATGCTTTCGATCGTAAATTACTGTGATAAAAAATCTCTTACTTTAATACTAATCAGAATTTAACTCGGATCATAAATTTGCAACTAATTTTTTTTATGTAATAGATCTAATTATTTCTGCAAGTATGTTTTTCTTCTTTCTGTCCAATATATAAATTTAATTATAAATATATTTTATTTTTCTATTTCAGGAAGAGTTGTCTTTCCACAATGACGACGGTTCCTACCAATTGGTGACAGTTGAGAGGAACTTAAGGGCGGTCGACCTTTGTCAACTTTTAGCTGTCAAAAACAGGGGCATTAAGGACCCCAAATGGACACTTTATGAACACTGGCCAGATCTGGGACTAGGTAATAAATTATAGAAAATAAATTATTATATATATATATATATATATAAGGGTGGTCCTTAATATGGACATTTTTGAATTTCCTTGCTCCCAAAGTCTCAAATTGTTCCAAATTGATAAAAGGCAATTCTCTGAGAGTTTAAGCTATTAATATTTTCTTTTACATAAGGCGCAATTCAATCAAAGTTTTGTATGGAAATAGCATGAAAAAATTTTCAAAAATTTTGCAGAGCGTCGAATTTTCAATAAAAAATTACACAAATTTTCACTTTGATTCATTTGTCGCTAGTTATACCTAAAAAATTTTAACTTCCCGTAGAGTAAGTTATTGTAATCGTCCAAAAATCGAAATCGAAAATTTTTACATTTCTCGACGTTTTGAAGGTTTCTGAACATTTTGGCATACCTTAGAAAAAATGGATGTGTGTGTATGTATGTATGGATACAATATTTTGTCCACGTTTTCGGGCGCACGGATCAACCGATTTGAATGGTTCAAAAAACATTCGATTCCTATTGATAGGGAGATGAGCTGATTAGTTTTTGGCAAAGGCAAGTCCAGCAGTTTCGGAGATACAGAGCTAAATGTGCAAAAAATGGTAGTTTTTGAGAGAACTAAACGTCCGATTTGAATGATTCAACGAACTTTCTGTTTGTTTTAACAAAATAATTGATTTTGGGAAAAAAAATTTTGTTTCAAATTTTAATTCTGTTCTAATATACTTTAAACAAAATATTATTTCAAATAAAATATGATTAAGTTCAAAATTTGTTTTCGACTTTAAAAGTTCAATTGGCAGCAATGTTTTTATTTATTCTATTGACAATACTATTTTACTCACTGAACAAGACTGCCTCAATTTAGATAAATATAAAAAATATAAATTAAAAAAAATATTCAGTATGAATACGAATACTTTTCAATATTCCGCAGTATATATAATTCTATTTATTTTCCATTTTCTTTGTACTTTATGAAAATTATAGTAAACTTTTTAAATTTTAAGTAAAATTTGACAAATAAAAAATAATTAAGTATTTATAGTCACATTTTAATTAAAATATAATCAGTCTCATGTTTCGAAATTAATTTATTGGGAAATGCTAATGTTAAAATATTTTTTTGAATTATTTGATTATTGTATTATTTAATTATTATATATTAATAATTAATATATAATATATTAATAATCAGTTATAATATATTTCAGAAATTACGTTTTTATTTCAACACAGTATGTTTTTGCAGTTATGTTTTGTATGATGGTTCGAATATGGTTCCGAATATGGTTCAATATGGTTCGAAACTCTATTAAAAGTTTCAAATCATTGATCAACTTTTATTGATTATTATTGATTATTTTTAATTACTCGAATTTTGAATTGCGGTACGGGAAGTTCCAGCAATTTTCCTTAAGGCACGATGCCCTAATTGCCTTAAGACAGAATTCCACTTACAGCTAGTTTTTTTAATTTTCAAATTTTTTTCCATGCTATTTCCGTACTAAGTTTGATTGAATTGCGCACTATCTAAAACTTAATCTTAAGAGCTAAAACTTTCAGAGTATTGTTTTTTATCAATTTGTAAACATTTGAGCCTCTGGGAGGACCATCCTAATATATATATATATATATATATATATATATATATATATATATATATATCATTTATAATATGTTACGAATATGGTGTGATATCGTTTATTCAACTGTATCAATATTGATCGATTGTCAATCGAATTCGCAAAATGCGTGCCATTTTGCAATAAAATCATTTTGCCACGAATTTTGTTATTGTGCTAATGGAACCTAACAATTGACCCTGACCTATAAAATTTCGAATAATAATTGATGGACTAGTTAGTTGTGTATTCATGGTCTAATGTAATTTCAGGCAAATTATTAATTGAATTATTATTTGAAATCCAAAAATGTAAGAAATTGTAATATAACAAGAAAGTGAATGGCAAGGCTTGTTTCTGGTATTTTTTAATTTTTGAGAATAGCTTGAAAATTTTGCACTTATAAGTGGTTTGGACTATCACATTTTCTCCCTAATTTTGTCCTTGCTCATAGCTTATTTTTTCTTTATAGAACTTCTATGTCTCGGTCTTTGTTTTCAAGTTTCTGTCTGTGTTTTTCTGCCCAAAGTCGTTTAACTTTTACATTCTTGTTGATCCAACTCTCATCAATCACCTCAGCCCTTTTTTCCAGTATTTACTTATTTAGATACACAGGAATTACCTTCAGACAATTAACTTTCTTGTACTTCCTCATTGACGACCTTGTCATCGATATATTTTTTCCTATATCTTGCTTTTGTTTACATTTCTTAGAGTCCATTTCTCTGATCTTTCTTCTTTGTCAAAGTTGATTGTCAAGGTCCTCAGTCCTTTTATTAATTTAATCTCGAGACTCAAGTTCTGTTACTAAAATTCTTTTTTTATCTCCTAGGATGTTAGTTAATTTGCTATTAAGTAGAGCTTTTTTTTATTTTCATGTCCAATTTTTTTTATTTCAGAACGTCCTCTCGAGGACCATGAGGATGTCCTTAGGACTTATAGAGAAATGCAGTGCTTTTCCAAACGAGCAAGAAAACGGTTTGTTTTTAGGAAAGACCCTAGGAAATATGATTATTTTGCAGACCCACAGGTAAATGAATATTCATATCTATTTATATATATATATATATATATATATATATATATATATATATATATATATATATAATATATATATATATATATATATATATATATATAATTTTTTTGTTAATTTTTGTGGCAAGATTTTTTTACTTTGTTAATTTAATATCTAACATGTCGTATAATGTAGAAAAATTAGAATAGTATTTGTGTTTGTTTTAAATTTGTTTTCTAAATTACTATTATAAAATTTTATTTGTTTTTATCATTATCATAACGTGGCAAAGTACGAACCTGGTTTTGATTCAGAATCGCGAAAATGGTGGCGGCATCTGTTATTCGAACTCGGAACTCGGAATTTATGTATGGATTATTTCTTTTTTATAAAGTGTATATATATATATATATAATTTTTTTTAGAGAATCTTTATTGATCCATACGTTTCGACATATGATTTTATGTCATCATTAGTGAAACAATTTGATAGAATATGCATGAAGTACACTAATGATAAGTAATATATTATTACAAGTGTAACCTTATGGTAAATTTGTTAGAACTTCTTTTAAAAAAAATGGTATTATTAAATGTTTTTATTTGTTTTATGCTTTTTCAATAATTCCACATTTAGTGTCAAAACATACAAAATAAATTTACGAAACGCACCGAATTATTTAGGACTCCTAAAATATGACACACATCTAGTTACGTTTAGATTTTTAGATTGATGACACATATTTAGTATCGAAACGTACGGAATAAATATTCTCGCATCTTGAAATTGATGGCACATATTAAGTGATATTATTAGCTAAAACGTACTAACTAAATATCTCTAGAACTCCCTAAACATGGCATACATCTAGTTACGTTCAGTATAAACTCTTAACAATTTTCAAAAGATTGTTCTATCTCAACTGAAATATATATCAAAGGTCCCGTTCAAATTTGATAAGAACCTAAAAGAACTCTACTAAAATAAAAACTTGTCAGTAAAAAAAATCTTGGTATATATGTGGGTTTTCCTGGTAGTAGATGATGACACATATTCCATGTAGAAACGTACAGAATAAATGTGCTTAAACTTTCAAAAAATTGGTAAAAAATTAGTGTCGAAACATAGGAAGGCTATGACTATTGTTACGAAAACGCACAAACGTTAAAAAAAGAATGGTATCAAAATTGCATCTTTGTGATGAGTATTTATATCATACGGTTTTATGTGTAAAACGCCTGATCGCATAGCAACTACATAGACATTTTTACAGTTTTTAGTACCAAGAAAGAAGGATAATATAGCATTGCCATAACAATGGCTATGTTACCGCAGAATTGGCACCATAGTCTTGAATTTTAAAGCACTACTTTTATGGCCCTGCACATTGATCACAAATTCCGCACATATTTTTACCTTCCCGTAGACAAAGTTATAGTAATAGCAAAAAAATAAAAATGAAAATTATTGCATATTTTTACATTTCAAAGGTTTCTGAACATTTTAACACATACTTTAGAAAAAATGAATGTATGTATGTGTGCGTGTGTAATATGTATGTATGTTTGGATACAATTTTTCGTACACGATTTCAGGCGCACGGATCAACCGATTTGAATGGTTTCAAACCGATTCTTATCGATAGGGATATGTGTTGATTAGTTTTTGGCAAAGGCAGGTTTAGCCGTTTCGAAGATATGGGCCATAAAGTGCCAAAAACGGTAATTAAATTTTTGAGAGAACGGAGTACCCGATTTGAATGATTCAAAAAACATGTTACTTGTATTGACGAAATAAAGAATTGATGATATTTTTGGTAATACAGGTCTAGCGGTTTTATAGATACGGAGGAAAAAGTAAAAAAATATGATATCTGGTAGTCAAAAATGAGCATTAGACATATGCACATCAAATTATCAGATATTTGATGAAGCTTTTTCTTGTTACAATTTTGTTGGGTTCCATACTAAGATGGCTTATTTTAAAAGTTTACTTATACAGATCAAGCAAATTTCAAAATTTTCAAAACATTTTTTTTTTCAAAATTTTCAAAAATATTCAAAATTTTATACTTCAAACATGAATTTTAAATTTACAATTCAGTTTGATAATGTATATATTTCAAATGCGTTAGTCTAATAGTAAGAAATATATCCTCGGATGAATTTATTCGGCACCTCTTGCTAATGTAAACTTTCTCAAGTGTTTTGAGCGTTAAGATTGTCACAGTATGAACTATAAAATATATAGCGATTGTAATTATCTATTTGAAAATGTATGGAACAATTTTTATTAATCATTGATCAATATTTATTAATTACTGATTATTATCCTTCGAATACTTAATCCTGGTACGGGAAGTTCCAGCAATTTGCCTTAAGGCACGATGCCATGCACCACTAGTTTTTAAATCATTCTTTATATAAACAGGAATAATTGCTTTTAATCAAAACGTTGCGCCAATTTTTGAATTATCTATTCGCAACTCTTATAAAGACCGTGCCTATGGCGCTAGACACAGGCAACACACAAGAAAGCCGAAGCCTTCCGAATAGTTTCGAAGCCCTTCCAAGCGAAATCCGATCGAGGACGACAGAGGTCGCTCTCTTGAACTGCGGACACCCTCGAGATAACAACTTGCAATAAAATACATAATCTTTGTCTTAGTTTCTATATTATTAAATAAATTCAACGTTGTTTGATATATAGTTGTTGGTGTTTGTTTTACACTACTGACTTACGCGAAATTGTTCAGTTTGTCTAATCCTGCTTGTTTTGTCCAGTGTCTTCAACGAAGTCTTTTTATTCGACTATAATTCTGGACCAACACTTTTGTCTTCAATCCCAAGCTTCCTTTCAACTCAAATTCTATATCATAAGATTTCCTATTAGATTCGATATTTCTTTATTCCTCCTCTCGATTCTTGTTCAATGCAATCTTCATCTCAAAGCACCATATTTCTACACCACCACCTCTACCTCAAATTTCTCTCCAATTTCTCACCATTTAATTACATTTTATTACATTTCCATTACAATGCGGCCCTTCCTCCTCCGTCGTAAATAATTTTATGGGTCCATTGACAGCAGGAGGACGATTACGGCGGCTGCGTCAAAAGCGACGACCGACGGGAAATGACTTTCTATTCCTTCATTGTGGTAATATGGTGGTGGTGGCGGTATGGACGGCGGTACCGCGGCGGTCGTAAAATTTATTATTATCCGCAACACCAACATCGCGGATCGTGTGCGATTTATCGCTAAAACGAGAGATTTATGCCGCTCCGTGGAAAAAATCAGGCGTTGCTCTGATCTGATGGATGGATGGATGGATGGTGAGGGTGAGGGTGGGGTCGCACTGGTAAATGACTGAAGACAAAACAATCATATATCTTATATATAAAAATGGAGCTCTCGATCAAATGATTCGGTAAAACTCGAAAAGGGCTAAACCGATTTGGCCAGTCTTAGTCTTGTAAATTCGTGCTAATTAGTGGGTTGTCGAAAAGGTGAGATATTATTCCAAAATCGCGTAAGAAACTTTACATTTTTAATTTGAAAATTGTTGTGGAAGCGTATTTTGAATAAAACAATGGACGGTGGCTAATACGTCAAATGTCAAACGTTTTTGACAGATGATGTTCGATTATGTTTAATAGGATGTTTTACGTGAATATTATTTAATCATGATTAAGTTTTGTTTGTAGTTTTATTTATATACTAAAACTTTAGCAAACGGGCCGCAAGTGTTACTAGAAACTCAAAAAATCAATTTTTTTAAAATGTTAATATGAAAATGCACCTTTTGGCATATTTTTCTCAAACACGGTGCTGTGAAAGATCTCATTTGTATAATTATATACCCATTGGTATTTATAAAACATTTTCTAGGTTATATTATGTTTCATTTATGTTATTTAAATTCAGAACCTAAATTTGATATCGATCAAATGGACATTTTGTTGAATATATTGAAGAATATATAGTAATATATGAAGGTCCGGGATAAAAAAGGTCCACCACCGATGTGTCAAAAGCCAGTAAAATTAAGCATTGTTTAACAACAATATTTGAAAGTAGAGGGAAAAAGATGTATAACTAGCTATTACCTTGATTCTAATGACTTTGCTATCGGGAGATAAACGGTAATCTTTGAAAATCCATAATAAAAGTATTTTCTTCCGTTGGTAGTTTTTTGGCATTAGTTAAAAATGTAATTGTTTTGTAAAATACCTTTAAAATTAAAATAAGACATTAAATCTGTTTGCCACCTGGCCGTTTTAAGTTACCCCGCCTATAAGGTAAAAAGGTCTAGATAACATTATTTTTGAAAGACATCAAAAAAGCACATTTCTACAATGATGAAGTAAAACGCAGTTTTACTGAACGTAGTCAGATAATTGTTCTTTTGAAATGTGTTATTTGTTGTGATATAATTGGTTTGATTATTATAATATAATTAATATTTGCTCATATTGGACTTTTGTGCCTCGCCCTGCCTTACATTTATACTTTTTATTAAATTTAATTTAATTCATCAAATGTTCGAACTTGAAACTTTTCAAAAAGCTTAAATTTTCAAAATACTTAATTCATTTTCTATCTCTCCTCGCAAAAATTTGAATTTTTTGTATAAGCTCAGTAGTATTATTTATAATTACACACAAGATCCAGAATCCAAAAAGAATCTGAAAAACTTGAAACGTAATCAATATAAGTGGAAAGACCAAAAAAGGCTTGGATTGGATTATACCATGTTTTTTATAGAAAGGGTATAAAACTTCGAGACAAAATATAGACAAACTAATGGGGTTTATTAATTTTATAATACCTCATTGTATATAGCATTCGAACAACACATCCTTATACACTTAAAGTATTAATATTTTTGATTCTCTAGAAATCCTTTAGAATAAACCTTACTAAACAACGTTTGCCGGGTCAGCTAGTATATACACACATATATATATATATATATGTATATATATATATATATATATAGCGTGTATGTATGATGCATTCAAAAAGTGCATTGGTGCATAATTTGGCACTGCATTTATACAGAAATTTGCAAATAACATTTTTACGACTCGGTCGTAAAACTCCATTGTGGTACCATCCTTTATTTTTTTTGTATATATACAATATATATATATATATATATATATATATATATACACACACAAAAGTTGTATATATAAACATAAAAACTTAATGAAACGAAATAAAAAAAATATTTATTTTCGCAGAAAATTATGATGCAGCAGACTCAGTTTATTATATTTATGCTCCAACAACTTTGTAACTTTGCGCAACTTTTAACGACTTTTATATTATTTAAACGAAACCAGGAAAGTAAGTAGTGCTTTCGCAAAAACAATTACAAAACATTATGCAACTTTAATGAAACAAAGTTAAATACAAGTATTTGTACTATAAATGGTACGAGTAGAATAAATTAGCAAAACCTCAACACAACACATTGTAGTATTTAACAAATCTAATTTTCTTCCTATTCATCTCAATGTCAGAGATCTCAATAAATCACTCAAAAGCCTTTCGAATAAATTTCAACACTCAACAGTCATTATTAGGCTGCGTCCACATAGTGGTGGACGCATAAGCAAAAATAAATCGCTTTGTCATTACTTTTATTTTAGTTTTTTAGGGACTCGATAGAGTGCGTCAATAACTGTAACACGTAAGTTTACCAGTAGGTTGAATTCTAGATAAGATTTATTTAAATATTTAATATAAAAATGATAAGTTTGATTAATTGGGATAAATGAAATTAAAACAAAATAAACGCGTATGAAATATATTTTCAACTAAATCACAAGTATGTTTTCACAAAAATATATAATAAACTAGTGGTGTATGGCATTGTGCCTTAAGGCAAATTGCTGGAACTTCCCGTACCGAAATGAAATATTCGAGAAATTTGAAACGTTTTCAAATATATCATTACAAATACTGTAACTTTCATTATTTTTGCTATCTTGCTATATCTGATTGTGAGCAAATCAAATGTAAATCATAAATAAATCAATTTATCTCCAGAACATTAACAATCGTCATTTCATTTCGAATTCAATTTCAAAAAAATTTGAAAGTTGCATAATTTACACAAAATTGAAAAAGTGCTCCCGTATAGTCACAGTCTAATGCAAATTGCAAATAATTCTGTGCGGCATTTTCACTTAGACTGTGCTTAGATGGCGGCATTTTCACATTTTTCAATAATTTTCACTAAATTGGAAAAGTGCTCCAACTTAGAGTGTTCTGTACATGAACAGTCTAAACGCACTTGGGTAAACATTTGTACCAGAGTGGCGCTTAGACTGTGCTTAGGCTGGGTAATTTTTTGAATTTTTAATTCAAAATTACAAAAATATTTTTTGAAAAAAAAATTAGAAACAATTATTTTTTTCCAAAAGCAAATATTTTGTAAAAACAAGCAGAAAGTTCTTTGAATCATTTAAATCGGACGCTTAGTTTTCTCAAAACTGCCATTTTTTTAACATTTAGCTCTGTATCTCCGAAACCGCTGGGCCTACCTTTGCCAAAAACTAACATCCACTTTTCCCCGTCATTACGAACTGAATGTTTTTTGGATCATACAAATCGGATGACTAACGGATAACTAATCAGCGCATCTCCCTATCAAGAGGAATCAAATGTTTTTTGAACCATTCAAATGGGTTGATCCGTGCGCCCGAAAACGTGGACGAAAAAATGCGGACATACAAAACACACACACTCATTCATTTTTTATGGGATATGCCCCTTAAAAATGTTCATAAACCTTCAAAACGTCGAGAAATGCAAAAATATTCATTTTGGATTTTCGGCCCGGGAAGTTAAAAAATAATAAAAATATAAAGTACGTGTATTAAAATTACATCATCGATTCTTTAAAAAGAGCGATGAATTTGGGCACAGTAGACCCTCTGTTGCATCGTTACACACTTGTTTGCTACTTATGGCAACTACTTAAATTTTGCCTTTATTGTTGACCAATTGTTTAAAACTATTATTTTAATTATTTCATTTTTTTGTTTCAGAATTTTTTCCCGACTGACATGATGGTTGCAAGTGCTATTGACGATTTTATCAACCCTATATACACGGTAAGTTTACTATTTTTCTGCTTTTGCGCCTCAGCTTTTAAATTTTTGCATTTTCTCTTTTTGGTCAAGACGTCCAATATTTACATCCAAAAGATAATCCAGATAATAAAGATAATCCCTGAGTCCTTCTATTTTTGCTTTGAGGACGAGCACCAAATCTTGAAACCGTACAGATCTTTTCATCGACTTTCCTCATTTTTCTGATTCCTAAAGAGCTATTCACTAAATATAATAATTATACAGAAACGTTTATATTTTTCAACTTAATCAATTGTCAATTACTTCTTCAGTCTTCGTCCTCCGTGTTCGCCCAATCGTCATCAGCCAACATTTCCACGAACCCCAAGTTCACCCTCGTCGGCCTGGTTTGGATCCGCGCTGGGCCGTCCTGCGGCAACGCTCACGCCCAGCAGCGCGTCTGGCGGCAGGTGCTGCTACTGCTGGCCGGTTCGAAACTCTACTACACCAGGGAAGCAGAAACAGCTGCCAGAGCGGTGAGGGACAGAGAGAGAGGAGAGGCGGTTAAGGATAATAAGGTAAGTCGTTTATTTATTATATGATATTTATATTTATACTAGCTGACCCGGCAAACATTGTTTTGCTAAGTAAGGTATATTCTAAACAATTTCTAGAGGATCAAAAATATTAATACTTCAAGTGCATAAGGATTAAGTTGTTTGAATGCTAAATACAATGACGTATTATAAAAAACAATAAATCCCATTAGTTTGTCTATATTTTGTTAATACAATCAAACTGGTTTTATTCTATAATCCAATCCAAGTCTTTTTTTGGTCTTTCGGCTTATTGATTACGTTTCAAGTTTTTCTGATTCTTTTTGGATTCTGGATTTGTGTATAATTTGTAAATAATACTACTAAGTTTATCAAAAAAAATTCAAATTTCTGCGAGGAGAGATAGAAAATGAATTAAGTATTTCTTCTTTGACCTGCTTTTGAAAAGTTTCAAGTTACATTCGATGAATTAAAGTAATTTAATAAAAAGAATATATGTAGCAAGGCGAGACACAAAGGCAATTTGACTTTGATCAAATAATAAAACTATATTGTGAAAACCATAACAATTATATCACAACAAATAACACATTTTCAAACGAACAATTATCTGACTACGTTCAGTAAACTGACTTCTACTTCATCATTGTAGAAATGTGCTTTTTTGATGTCTTCCAAAAATTTGTTATCTGGACCTTTTTATCCTATATGCGGGGGTAACTTGGCGTCCAGATGGCAAACAGGTTTAATGTCTTATTTTAATTTAAAGGTATTTTTCAAAATTTTACATTTTTAACTAATGATAAAAAATTACCAACAAAAGAAAATACATTTACTATGGATTTTTTAAAGATTACATTTATCGCCCAATAGCAAAGTCATAAGAATCAAGGTTTATGTTATATATCTTTTTCTCTCTACTTTGAAATATTGTTGTTAAACAATGCTTAACTTTACTGGTTTTGATACATCTGTGGTGGACCTTTTTAACCCTGGACCTTCATATATTACTATCTATTCTTCGATAAATTCTGGGAAATTAAACTGAGAAAATGTTATTCGACAAAATGTCTCTTTGATCGATACCAAATTTAGGTTCTGATTTTAAATCACATAACTAAAAAAAAATATTTCAGAAAATGTTTTATAAATACCAATGAGTATATAATTGTTTGAGAACAATATGATTTGTCAACCATAGGTACTGAGTTTTATAGTTCACTTCACTGTTTATACGAATGGGCAATGGCACTATCTGAATGGATAGGTTTATAATTAATTAATTTTGAATTAGAATGAAAACGGTCAAAAAAAATAAAG